ATGTTCTACATTGCGTCTCGAGAATTCAATTGTACCTCAACACAAGTTGTTATCAATTTAATTCATGAGTAATGTATTTACTTCCGAGTTTAGAGTAACAGTGGGTAATAACACTGATTTGCGATTTGGTAACCGAACGATATATATTGACATATATTCTCTGTTGTGTATCTCTTTGTGTTTGCATCTCTTCGAGATTTATATACCTTGTATATTGATAACCCTCACAGTAAGGTCTGCCGCTCGTATCCAGGCAGACTAGTATATGTTTGGTGCACAATTTACATTAATAAATGTATCTCGTGTATTGAACCCGTGTGTGTGCGTTGTTAGTTGTTCTGACGATTGATTTTCTAAAAGCCACAACGAACAACCTCGTGATTACTGCTACAATTAGTAATTGTCTCAGTAAACCCATCAAACCTCTACAACAGTATTAGTTATTTATAGCACCAGTTCAATACTGGTGGGGGAGTGGAGCTGTATTGGGGTGTAATTACATCTTATGGACGCCGTCTGGTAAAAGGTTTGGAAAAAAATGTAAATTTCATGTTTGATTCAAGATATAAAATGAGGAATACAGAAAGAAAAATACAAGAATTAATTCACATGAATCTAAAAGATATTGATTTAAACAGTAATCGTCTGCAGGTTTCTTCCAAGCATCAAGATAATTATTGGGCTGATCTGATTTTTCTACTCTACCATCACAGAGGTTTAATTCACTGCCACCAGCTGTGAAGAGTATAAGAAGTATTGTGGTTCAGAACAAACACAGCACAAGTAACTGTCACAGAATATAATGTGATAGTGTCTACACCAAGATGCAGGAAAAGCAGAAGTGGGAGAGACTGGGGTCTGAACTATTTGTACTGCTTCTTAGGTAGTTTTCATTTTCTAAACAATTTCTTTAAAAAAAATGACAGCAAATACAAAACTACATTTTTAAATTAAAATATTTCAAAAACGTTTTAATCTTAATACTTTTATGGGATATCATTTTACATTGACTTGTTCGTGCAGTGGCTGGTGCCTTCTGTGTGACATTTATTCCTGCTCGCGTTATGAAGACAGTGGTAGTGACAGAATCCTCATGCTATATCCAGTGTACATGGTGAAAACAGCAGAGCAGAACTGACTGTCTTCATATGAAGGAAGAAACGGGCACATTTTTCCTGTTCTGTAGGTAGTTATTTCTTAAGCAATTAAAAATAATCCTATCTCCTTTAGTGTAGTCATGTTTTTTTGCACTTTCCTAACTCTTGCATTGGGAAGATGCCCTCAGTAATTTGTGTGCTTGACAGAAATAGACTATTAGTCTCTTTGCCTGATTTGTAATCTTAGAAATAACGGCAAGACCGACTCACCCAGTAGAGGAGTTCTATCACTCATGACTGCAGAGTGTCGACATGCTCAGGGTGTCAGTGTGGTGGTGGTGGTGCTGCTGCCTGTGTCTCAACACTGTGGAGAGTTACCACCTCTCTGTCTTATACCTGAACCTCTGAGAGCCCTGAACACACCCGCTGGCACACCGAGGCCAATGGAAACAGACTAAACAGACTCACCAAGGCGTGTGTAACGTCCGCTCATGTCTCCAGCTCTTGTGCTGATCAGTCAGAGTGCTGCTGCTGCCTGTGTCTGTGTGTCTGTTTCAGCTGTGTGGGACTGTCCTTCTGCTCTCACGCCCTGAACCAGCAATAAACACACCCTCTGACACAGCCGCAGTGTTCAGCAGTGTCTCCTGGACTCACACAGCAGCAGTTACACTGTGAAGGTGTACGAATTGAAGAAAACCTGCTTCAGCTCTCTTGTACAGTGTATTCATCTTAATCTAGAATACAATCTCACACTCCAGGCACAGGTACAGAAGTTCTGTTCTCTGAAGAACTCTAGTTGTAAAAAGATGATCTTCTTAAAAGTGGGGAAAAAAGCTTGAATTTTCTTTGCTGTTCCCTTTGCCTTAGTTTGTATCATCTATAAAGCACCCAAGTTTATTGATGACGCCAGAAACTAGATTATAAATCTAAATCAGGAAGACTACAAGTACAGATTCCTCCACTAACTACTGTATATCACCCAGATTAAAAACAGTGTAGCAATAAGGGCAGGAACTTTTAAAATATTGAAGTTCTTAACCTATTTATAGAATCTTCAGTTTCCGTATCTTTCGGCTTCAGCACCTATTGGCAGTATAAAGGGATTAATTAATGACATCATACCCACCACTGCAGTTTACACCTGCAGCCTTCTTCGCATTTAAAAAAAAAACAAGAAAAAAGGGACTTGCACAGATAATAAATTAACGCTGTAGTCCTCATTAACCAGAAAAGCATCATCTGGAACAGGATGAACAGAACTCCCTTCCTTTCTTTGCCTCACTTGACCTTTTGCAATTCATTGTTTTTAATTGGACTCTGTTCTTTTTATAAACTCTTTGTATAAAGTGCTTTTGTCTCTGTACATTTTCCCTGAATGATTTGTTAAACCATCAGGATTACACCTTTCCTTTACTCTTCCCTGGGATACATCTGTTCTGTCCTTAAGCAGAATATTTTAAGTTTTTAGATCACTTTTATATTGATTTCATATCTGTCCCTTTGCACTAAGGTCTCTTATTCTTTAAATTATTTCAGCTACCTTAACTGTCTTATTCTTATTCTTTCTGGTTGCATGACATGGGCTTGCAAAAAGCAGGTTTAATCTGTTTTAATTTGTTAGTCAAACAAGCAACAGCAGAGCATTGGTCCTAACAGAGCTTACAACACTTCTGCAAACCTAATTGCTGTACGCACCGTTTTAACATCACCACAGTTTCAAAGGGTTGTGGCAAGGGCACAGAGGATTATAGTATGTGATGGACCATCAATCGGTGAGATCCACACCATCCGCTGTCACAATGAAGCCCAATTCCTCATTCAGGATCCCAGCCATCCCGGCCACAGACCGTTCTCCCCCTGCGCTCTGCCAAAGGTACCACACTATTAAAGCACAGAGCACTAGCCTTGAAAATAGCTCCTTTCCTGCTGCAGTACACATACTCCACAGCTAACTGCAGTGCCTTAATACACATCTGTGCTTTTTGCATGGTCTGCCATGTTTGTTTTTCACTACAACATGTTTATTGTTCTGTTATTAAGAACTGGAGAAGCCCTGATAACGTGCTTCATTTGTAGTGACCCAACAACATACAGTGTGTTGTAGAGGTGCCTTGTTGCATAACACATGCATACAGTACATGTATAGCTATAACAGCAGTTTATCCTACTGAGCACTTACAGGAAAACCATCTTTCTTTTTTTAAGGATAAAAATATGTTATCCATGCTTAACAGGAAACACTTAGGAGATTTTCTGAACAGGTGGAAGCACTTCCTGATCAAGTAGTCATCTGCACTTGTTTAGCAGCAGCTGGTTCTAACCACCTTTGTAACTGGTATGGAAGCAGTAAGGGTGCACTTGCTTTTTCACCCTAGGCTTCTGAATGTAGGCTGATTTTTCAGTTTAATAATGATAAAGTAAAACCTGTGTGTATCTGTCACATGAGGTGAGATAGATCTACTGTTGGGACTCGGTGAGGACTAGATGAAGGTCAGAAAAGTCTTAATGTGTGAAACAGAATGGTAAGGGGCTGTACTTTCTTTTTCACATCGCTGTGTCTGTGTCCCACTTCACTGTCCAGGTGAAAACACTGAGAGAGCTTCCTGTCCCCAGGCAACTGATTTAGAGATTGAATCCTTTAGATTGAAACCTTAAGCAGTCCACTACTTGGGGAGAATTCCCCGTCTCTTCTCTCCCTCCTTCTGGTTAAAACAATCTTTATTATTCAGATAGATACTGTACTGTCCACTGCTGTGGAAATGTCTTTGGCTGCTCCTACACAAGTACAGAACACACAAGCAAAACACAAGAGCCACAAAATCACATGAAATCACAACAGTGTATGATACAGAAATCAGTGGATACATAAACAGGGAGAGGGGGAACTGCATTTACACACATTAAGTAGTTTTATTACAGAAGGAACAGAAGATTCTTATACGTATCAATGTTTTCATTTGAATTTGGTCCCCTGTACCGTCTCCCTGATGGGAGTGTTATGAATGGAGAGTGGAGTGTCTCTGTGATGTTCCTGGCCGTTCTGAGACCTGTATTATGATATCAATCGCAGAGCTGGGGCTGCTGTTTCCCAATTATTTGTCCTGCCAACAATCCTTGACAGTTTGGTTTTGCTTTTCAACGCCAGGTTTCCATACCAAACAGTTGTGTTAGATGACAGGATGCTCACATCTGGGCTTTTATGGAGAGAGATGCCATCTCTGGGACATTTTGACTTACATTAAATGCCTGAGTATTTCGATTAAAAACAGCCTCTGACTTGTTTTCTTAAAAAATGTTGTCTATGTTCTGTGTAGCTCAGCCTCAGATCAATGTGCTCCCAGATATTTAAAACTCTCCACAGCCTCTACAGACTGACCCTTGAGGACTGTTGTCTGCAAATATCCGCCAGTTTTAGCACTGAAAAGAAGCTCTTTAGTTTTGACCACATTTATTTCCAATGGACTGCATTGGCACCAGTTTTCAAGGATTCTGATTTTTTAAAGTAAGTGTGCTCACCCAGAGGTCCAACAAGAACCGTCATCTGCATATTTAATCAGACTGGCTGTGCTACTCTGAATCTTTAACTCATTAGTGTATATTGAGAACAGAAGAGGTGACCATACACAACCATGGGGAGTACCTGTATTTAAAACAAGTTGGTTTGAGAATACACCATTCATGTGGGCTCTCTTAGGTTGATCTTGACGTAACCAAGACACTATCTAATGATTGTCCACTTCAAGCAACTTGAAGACAAATCTTAACCAGCAACAGGTGCAACAGAGAGCTGTGTTGCCCCCATGTGAAAATCACTTGACCTGTTAGCATTCAATACTTGGCCTGGGTAGACACTCAGTAAAATTAAATAACTAAACTTTTTCTTTCGCAGGAGATGAAACCCCAACTCAAAAACTTCATGTGCGAATTGTTTTAGTAGGGAAGCCTGGAGTGGGGAAGAGTGCTGTAGGAAACACCATCCTGGGCACAGAGGAGTTCACTTCTCCCACAAGTTCAACTCAAATTAAAGTTCATCTGGAGGGCGACACACGCATGGATGTCATTGATACTCCAGGCTCACTGCTCACGAATCTCTCTGATGATGATGCCATACTTGAGATGCTGATGTGACGGCGAACACAGTCGCTTAAACAGCTTTTTGCTCAGAGC